GTAGTGCGAGCCTGTAGTCCCAGCTACTTGGGAGGCCAAAGTGGAAAGATCACTTAGCAGGAGTTTGAGGCTACAGTGAGCTATGATCACAATACTGCACTTCAGCCTGGGCAACAGAGTAAGACCCTGTCTCTAAAAATTTTTTTTTAATTGTTTCAATGAAAAAATAAAAAGAGGCCAGGAGTGGCTCACGTCTGTGTTCCCAGCACTGTGGGAGGCTGAGGTGGGTGGATCACTTGAGGCCAGGAGTTTGCCACTAGCCTGGCCAACATTGCAAAAGCTCATCTTTACTAAAAATACAAAAGTTAGCCAGGTGTGATGGCATGCACCTGTAGTCCCAGCTACTCGAGAGGCTGGGGCATGAGAATTGCTTGAGCCCGGGAGGCAGAGGTTGCAGCCAGCTGAGATCACACCACTGCACTTCCAGCATGGGCAACTGAGACTCTGTCTCCAAAAATAATAACAATAATAAATTGAAAAAATAAATCCATAAATATCAATTTGTCTTGAATTAGCCAAGTTGAATCTAATAGTAGCAAATTTGGGGAGTTGCAATAACTTTCAAATTGGGATTTTTGAAATCTATTTTGAAATATCAATCAGTAAAAAGATAATATCAACCAGAAGGAAAGAATATTTCTCTTAATGCTCAGTTTTCCAAAGGAAATAGTTTAATCCTTGGAAATAGGGCCAGTTAGGAAAAAAAAAATCTTGGACTCATCAGGATGTCTATCTCAGTAAATGTATTTTGAAATATCACTTATAATTATCCTAAATCCTCAAATAAAAGTTTAATTACATGAACCCATAACTGTTTGGAAACTTGGGAAAGTGTGTATAAAAACCAAATGTTGAGCTCTTTGGAGGAGGGGATTAGGACTTTTTATTTCTAGATCCTAAGCTAATACAAAGCTTTAATGTTCAATGAATATTTGCCATGTGTAGTCTCGGAAGTTTAAATTATAAAGTCTTTGTGTTTTACAGCTTTTGGCTGATGCCCGCATTTATGCTCAAAAAAATAGTTCTTGGAAATTTTTCATCTGGCCCGGTGGACCCTATGATGGCTGATGCCATTGATTTCATGGTAGACAGGGTAAGGATCATGACATTGGGGTGGGGACACATTGTATTGGGAATTTTTACATCTACTTGGTTCCAGAAGACAGATCTGTCTCACAAGTATGTGTTAGAGGTATTTGCTAAGCAGATTAATACATCTGAGCAGATATTATTGCTGGTAAGGGCTTGTCTACATTAGTGCTTCCCACCAGCTGTTTGTCAAAATCACTTAGGGAAGCTTTCAAAAATATAGATTGTAAGGCCTCACAGCAGACCATCCATCTGGCATCCCTGGGCATGGGATCTGTGAATCTATTTTTACTTCAGTCTTTTCCTTTATTCACCAGGTACATCTGATGAACCAGGTCTGTTGGCTTGCATTTAGGAACTCCTGGGCTAGATGATTTCTGAAGTCTCTTCTAGCTCTAAGATCCCTTAAAGGTTTATCTTAAAAAAAATACAAAAAAAAAAAAACAAAAAAAAAACATGTATCTGTCACCTTTGAGCAGTAGGAATTGGCTTGCTGCCCATGGGCACCTGGCTGGAGGAGGCAGTGTAGGCTGAGAGCTATAGAAGGCCAGGTTTCATTGGTTTGTATCCAGGTTTCCAGAATAGAAAAATGCCACCACCTCCTGAGAAGCCCAGTTCATGGTCTCTCACCTATGTTGTGGTTCCTCACTGGTGACTTTTCTGGCCCCACCACAGATGATACCACCTTTATAAGCACAAATGTTGTCTGTGGATTTAATGTAAATGTGAAAAAAAAAATTATTTCAAAAACTTTACCTGTGTTTCTTCCTGCAGCTAGAAAGTTTGGGTCAGAGTGAACTGGCTTCCAGACTTACCTTGAATTGTCAAAATTCCTATGTGGAGCCTCATAAAATTCGGGACATCCCTGTAACCATTATGGATGTAAGCTTCCTTTTAAGTAAAATAGCTGCTTTGCTTTTTAAAATGTGTCTGTCAAGATCTCCTAAAAAACTATTTGATAACTTTCAATGTGCCTCTTCAAATGCTGCCTTGGCTTTTGTTTTTACCCTCCAGCTTTCTCAATTCCAAAATAATCTGTTTATTGCTTATCTTGGATTTCTTTCTGGCAGGAATAACACCATTGAAATCAAAATAGACTGAACACAGAGGCTTATGCCTGTAATCCCAGCGCTTTGGGAGGCTGAGGCAGGAGGATTGCTTGAGTCCAAGAGTTCAGGACCAGCCTGGGCAACATAGCGAGACCCTGTCTTCTATTTATTAGAGAAGATAAAAATAAAAATGAATCAAAATAAATTTAAACAAGGGAGTCTACCCATTTGATGTATTTTTGCTGTTCTCATCAATAGATACTGCGCCTTAGCCATTACATATATGGGCAGCAAAGAGAAGGTGCTTCACAAGAGTGGAGAATCAAGAATTCCATAGTCTAATTACCACAAAAGCTTGCTTATTTTTTTCATTGTGGTAAAATATATGTTACAAATATGCCATTTTAACCATTTTTAAGTGCATAGTTGAGTGGCATTAAGTATATTCACAGTTCTGCAACCATCACCATTTTCACATTTTCATCATTCCAAGAAGAAATTCCATACCCATTAAACAATAACTCCTGTGCCCTTTTTTACCCCGGCCTCTGATAAGCAACAGTCTATTTTCTGTCTGTAAAAATTTGCCTATTCTAGGAACCTCATATCAGTGGAATCCTACAACATTTATCCTTTTGTGCGGCTATTTCACTTAGCATAATGTTTCACAAGACTTATCTTGAAATGTTATACATGTGTCAGAATGTCATTTATTTCTTTTTTTTTTGAAACCGTCTCACTCTGTTCCTCAGGCTGGAGTGCAGTGGCACAATCTCAGCTCACTGCAACCTCTGCCTCCCAGGCCCAAACAATTCTCCCTCCTCAGCCTCCTGAGCAGCTTGGACCACAGGTGCACACCCACTACATCTGGCTAATTTTTTGTAGAGATGGGGTTTCACCATGTTGCCCATGCTGGACTCAAACTCTGAGACTCAAACTATCTGCCTGCCTGGGCCTCCCAAAGTGCTATTACAGGCGTGAGCCACCACGCCCAGCCTGTCATTTCTTTTTAAAGCTGAATAATATCCACCAATAAAACCAATGTTGGTTTATACCACATTTTGTTTATCCATTCATCCGTCAGTGGATACTTGGGCTGTGTTCAGCTTTTGGCAATTGTGAATAATGCTTCTATGAACATTGGTATAAAAGTGTATGTTTGGGCAGGGCACAGTGGCTCACACCTGTAATACCAGCACTGTGGGAGGCTGACTCAGGATGATTGCTTGAGCCCAGGAATTCGAGACCAGTCTGGGCAATATAGGAGACCCTGTCTCTACTACTAATAAAAAAAATTAGCCGGACATGGTGCCACATCCCTGTGATCCCAGCTACTTGAGAGCTGAGGTGGGAGGATCACCTGAGCCTGGAGTGAGCCATGATCATGCCAATGTGCTCCAGCCTGGGCAACAGAGTGAAACCCTGTCAAAAAATGTATGTATATTTGAGTTCCTGCTTTTAATTCTTTTTTATTTATTTTAAAATTATTTCTAAAAAATAATTTTTTGTTTTTTATTTTTGTAGGTACATAGTAGATGTATCCTACTTTTAATTCTTTTGGACATATTGTTTGAAGTAGAATTGCACTTTTTGAAGAACCGCCATACTGTCTTCCACAGTGGCTGTACCATTTCATGTTCCCACCAACAATGCACAAAGGTGCCAGTTTCT